CATATGATGTTCGTTATATATCTATTTACTATAAGACACTGTCAAAAACATTCATACAGCTGTCATTGACCAAATTTCTACAACCATCTGAATACTCTGAAAGCACCTTGACATACCTCAGCTTTAGCATTGCTCTCCAATGACTTGGACGACGACAACAGCGCCGCCGCGTTGTGATGGTGTGGATTATACGCCTGAGCCCTTGCACATACCACAATCAACCAGTGCACCGTCAGTAGACTAAATATAGTGGTGCAAATCATCACACCCAGGCCCAGGGATATACCAGACACGGCAAAGGCGTGTGGTACAGCTAATGCACCCACACCCAAGATGTAGTTCAGAGTCATAGAGTATGCAGCAAGTGACCCATATTTCGACTTGGAGGTATCTCGAGAGGCACGCGATTGTAGTAGAGGGTCGGCTTCTAAGCCGTCGTCGTCGAAGTGAGATGACCAGTCCATTTTACTTGATGTTTGTGATGTATCTTTAGAGGTATGTTATTTACTATACGTGATATTATCATTTACTTTGCTTGTGGTGTTATTATACAGAGTATTTACATCAGCTAGAGTGCTAATACGTCTCGTTCGTTTATATTTATATATATATTGTGTCTCTTGTTGTGTGGTTCTGTCGCTTTAGGTTCCCACAAGTAAACAGGCGATCAATTTGACTATATGTTTCTCTCAATTAAGATCTTTGGTTCACCACATGACGATCATTCACAAAGCAGTAAAGTGGAGGCCTTTACAGGCTTCAGACTTCTTGGTGAGTTGAGGCCTTCAAAGTTCTAAGTCGAGAGAAGGGGTAACTAATGTGTACTTTACTTGGATTTTGATTGGTTAACATATTTGTTCTGGTTTGACTATCCAATAGGAATACAAGCAGCTAGCAGTCAGCAGATACTAATGATTTACGATACGATGAGTTACCACTTGGCACCTACCACTTACCACTTACCACTTACCAGCCTTTCGCAGCCCTCCTTAGTCCATAGTCCATACAGTGCATATAGAATGTGTATGTAAATACTTATGACACGTCAATACGATACGATACGATACAATACAATACAATACAA